CGGCAATGGGTGCTAGAGTCTTGTTGCCATAGGAATAAATTTGTTCAAAGTAATCTGGACTATTGAAAACGATTTGGTTCCAAACGTGGACAGGCAAGTTGCGGTTGTAACACATAATCTTGATTCTATATAAAGCGCATTATGTAAACGGTTTTTAATTATAATAAAAAAGAGAAAAAAAAAATAGCGTAAATAGAAACTTAAGTCCGGAAGAGACGAAATGTATACAGGTTGACTTTTACAAGTGCCCAAAGGTCCCTTTCCATTGAATAAACCTTCAGCAAATGCCATTGCTGAAGCACCGGTCCTTTAAATAGTAAATTGTATTTTATATTTTTGCATTTGAACATTGGAAATAGCAGTTTTCAATTAAATCGTACCTTGAAGTGGCAGAACTTTGAAATTTTATAACATCGGGATCATATTCAACTCCTTTCCAAAATTTTGCGACTTTGTATTCCATCGTAAAAAGGTTCGAGTTCTCCTCGTTTGAACAATTTAAAAATCTTACTCGCCGGGAAAGGGTTTTTATACTAAAAGAAAATAATATTAAATAATGATATTTTTTTTTTTTAGAGTAGGACATAAAAGAAATCCTATTTACCTATTCTATTGCAATATTAACATTTGCAAATATTTTTTCCAATTTATCGTAAGCAACGATATCAGATGGATCCGGATACCTCGATCCTAACATTGATTCAAAGATTATTTTACGCCGTTAAATTTGCATTGCAAGTATGAGATAATAATTACCATGTCTAGTATTCAAATGTAATTGTACTAATTCACATTTATCAGGATAACTTATAGGTTTAATATCAAGCGAAAAGGCAGTTTTTGTTGGTTCGATGTAAAATAAATGACCGTCGATAAGTTCATCTGGAGTATATTTGTATTTATTGCATAAAATTGGGTTATAGGAGATAAATAAAGAGAAAAGTAAAGCCGCGTATAGAATTTGATATGAAGGCATCATCTTTTTTAGAATTCTAAGTATATTATATCATAATTTTTGTTGATAATTAATATTTAGACTAAACTAGTTTTGCCTAATTCAGATAATTTCAGATATATAGAGCGAAACTGAATATTCACGAATATTCACTAGGCAGAAAAATTTGAATTTGAGAAAATAGTTTTTTCTAAAATACTATAATATAATAGTAAAGTAAAGTTTCACAAATAAATAAACTGCAAAGAATTCAAAATTAGTATATGTTGTTGCTTTAGGATTTTTCAATCCTTGTTTTAAAGCTCATTAAATTGGTATAAATATATCAAAATAAATTATAAAGTTATATAATTAAGCATATTATAACAAATAAAGTATTTAAATAACAGTTCTAATTTCTATTTTTTTAATTATTTCAAATTTCTAAAAATGCTTTTAAATGTAATGTTATTTTTGTTCTCATATATTTAATAAATGTTTAGCATACAATCAATACATTTCAATATAATTAAAGAGAGTTGATTCTGATGAAGAAAATATGCAAGATAATATAATATAAGACATTCCTCCTAAAAGTAATAATATTGAAAGATATTTTATATTTGATAATATTTCCTATGATATACAGTATCTCTTGAAAGTGATGAAGATATTGCTAATACTTCTATAAATAATATAAATAATGAGGTATAATATTATAAAATTAAGAATTATAAAATTATGACAAATTACTAAAATTATTATATTAGATAAATTATGAAAATTTTTGTGAAGAAATATAAGATATATCTGAAGAATTCAGAACTTATATAGAATTTTCAAATGAAGTGTATACAGATTCGATAATTTTAATAATAAAATATCATTTAAATAATAAAGCTAAAAATGCAATTATAAAATTTTTTTAATAAATATTCAACCCTTATTAAATCATATTTATCTAAAAGAATATATATTTATGAATAATATAACATTTCTAATTTGAAATATAAGAAAACTTGCATAGCAAATTATAATAACAGAGACTATTTTCTTTATTATCAAAATTTAATATTTTGTATTAAAAATATTTTGTTAGTTCCTGATATAATACAAGACTTTATGCTATCTTTCGAAAACTATATGGTATATATTTTTAATCTAAATTATTTCAAGTTGTAAATTTATTAATCACATATTTTTCAATTTAAGCATAAAAAAGAAAGAATATATAAAGAACAAAATAATGGAATATAGTGAAAATTAATTGAAGATTCCTTGCCTATTAATTCTAAATTATTATTATTTATTTTGTATTCAATTATAACAACAACTGATACATTAGAAAAAAGTCAATTACAATCGACCCTCTATATAGTCATCTCCTATATAATCACACTTTTTCTTTAGTCACATTATAATTCTACTTAAATTTTTAAATAAGAAAATATCACTTTTATAATCACAATAATATATAAAAATATAATCATATCAATTTTTAGTCCTATCTTATAATAATATAAGAAAATCACTTCCTATATAATTACATCAAATTATATCCCTTTATATAATCACAGTAAATCATATCTATATTAATTTTATAATACAAATAGTATCTAAAATATTTAAAAATAAAAAGAGTACAATTTCTGTCAATACCACTCCATTTCTTATAAAACAATTACCATTTGAATCCTTAAAACCAAACGAATCCAATAAGCCAATAAATATTCATTCAATTATGAGAAAATCATGATTAAATTATTGGCTGAAATTATAATTCAATAAATTCTACTTAAAGAAATCTGAATTTAACATTCAATCGTGAATATCTCATGATCAGCTAATCATAATTTGATGTATATTAGCTTATTAGATTTATCTAGTTTTAAGAATTTGAATGGCAGTTTATTCATGAGAAACAGAGCAGTATTGATTGAGATTATACTCTTTATTTAGATTTTTTATATAATAATTATATGATATAATGACGTTGATTTCGACCATTTCAATATTGATTAATTTTGGTTTTATATTTAATTCATACTAAAGATGCCAGCTGAAACTCCCTTAAAGTAATTTCGTTATATTCCTTACTATATTTTTAATATAGTTTCAGCTAATTTTAGGTTTCAGGTTTCGTCGTATCCTTACTATGTTTTAATTAAAGATGGTTCTCATAATTATTTATAAAATTTTTAACTAGTTGCAACTATTTATAAATTTTTATATTAAAATAAATTTAAAAGAAGTTGCAACAAAGTTGTAACTTCTTAATTATGGTACCTATCTTTAGTTTTAATATAATTTCAACTATTTATTAATTGCCTTTTTTGAGTTTCATCCCTAATCTTTAATTTATACTTATTTTCTTTGAAATTTTTAACAAAATTTTAAAATATTACATAATTTATTATAAAATTAATTAATACAAAATTTTATATATAATCATA